TCCTTCCTTCCTTCCTTCCTTCCTTCCTTCCTTCCTTCCTTCCTTCCTTCCCTCCCTCCCCTTCCCTTAACTCCTTCCTTTCTTCCTGACAGTGGTTAAAATGCAGCATTGGGACTAACTGCCCACAGACAGGAGTTTGATCTTAATTGGCTCAAGGTTGGCTCAGCCTTCTTCCAAGGTGGGTAAAATAGGGGCCCAGATTGTTGGGGGGGTGGGGGAACGCTGACTGTAAAATGCTTAGAGAGGGCTGTGAAGCACTGTGAAGTGGTATAGAAGTCTAAGTGCTATTGCTATTTTCCTTCCTTCCTTCCTGACAGTGGTTAAAATGCAGCATTGGGACTAACTCTGCCTTCAGCCAGGAGTTCGATCCTGACAGGACTCAAGATTGACTCCGCCTTCCATCCTTCCAAGGTCGATAAAATGAGGGCCCAGATCGTTGGGAGCAAGAGGTTGATATTTATAAAAAAACAAACCAAGAGAGTATATAAAGTGCAATGGAGCGATATAGAAGTCTAAGTGCTACTGCTATTTAATTGCATTTGCCAGTCAGAATCACTTCCCAAGACAGCCAGCCTCATAAGTCAAGTCACATCAAATGAATGAAGTAAACAATTGGGCAAGGCAGAATTCCTTCCCTGTCCAGGAAGATGGATCTGATTGGACCTCCGATTTAGACAAGACATACAGCAGCCCCAACCTCCTTCCTCTCCTGTACCTGCAGTCGAAGCTGGGCCATGTCACGCATCAGCCGGTTCCGTCGGGCTTCCTCGGCAGCCTAGGAGGGAAAGAGAGAAGGGGGGGGGGGCACATCAAGTTAACCTGCTTTTTAAACTATAACCTCCCCATTTCCCAGATTTATCTCTAAGGACAATCCTTTTTAGGATACGGCTTCCAAAAACTCCAATGACGAAGCGTGAATTCACATCATGCCTCATTCTCTGACAGATACCGGATAATGTAGTTGGGGTTGGGTTTTTTTGTAAATCATGCTGCCCACATAGCAAACCTTTTGAAGGACCCAGAAAACTTTTTAAATATTTAAAGGTGCAAAAAAATTTTTTTTTATGATTCAGAAAGAAGATATCAGGGGCTGAGTCTTGCTATAGCCCTATATATACCTAGTTTCATTGATGACATAAGAAACTGAGTGGAACCCAATATTTGCAGATGGACGTGTTGATAATGCAAGTATCAGCCACCCACCCCAATTCTTGTCAATCAAAAAGGTAGATTTCCTTCTCTGCAGCCATGCAGATTCTGTTTTTAATTTTAATTTTCCAAGGGATTTCTTTGACCCTTTTCAAAAATTCTTCCCATTCCCAAGCTCAAGGTTGACTCAGCCTTTTGTCCTTCTGAGGTGGGTAAAATGAGGACCCAGATTGTTGGGGGCAAGAAGCTGACATTGTAAACCACTGAGAGAGGGCTGGAAAGGCACTGTGAAATGGTATAGCAGTCTAAGGGCTATTGCTATTGCCCTTCCTTCCTTCCTTCCTTCCTTCCACCCCTCCCTCCCTCCTTCCTTCCTTCTTCTGTAAACCGCTTAGAGAGGTCTGGAAAGCACTAGAAAGCAGTACATAAGTCTAAATGTCCTTTCTTCTAATTAATAGTGCAGACTAACTCTGCACACTGCCAACAGTTCAAGGTCTAAACCACTTAGAGAGGGCTGTGAAGCACTGTGAAGCAGTATATAGGTCTAAGTGTCCTTCCTTCCTTCCCTTCTCTTTCTTCCTTCCTTCCCTCCCTCCCTCCCCAGTAATTAGTAGTGCAGGCTAACTGCACACTGCCAACAGTTCAACCTTGACCAAGGTCTAAACTGCTTAGAGAGGGCTGTGAAGCACCGTGAAGTGGTATATAGGTTTAAGTGTCCTTCCTTTCTTCCTTTCCTTCCTTCCTTGTGATTAGTAGTGCAGGCTAACTCTGCACACTGCCAACAGTTCAAACCTGACCAAGGTCTAAACTGCTTGGGAGAGGACTGTGAAGCATTGTGAAGCGATATGTAAGTCTAAGTGCTATTGCTAATGCTATCACCCCTCTCAATTTCAACAAACACCCCATAGTTTACAAGCTTTTCACAAACCCCAAAGAGATGCTTTTTAAAAATCAATCATTTTTTCAGAGAGGGAATTGAACCAACCCAAAGCAGTTAAAAGAGGAAGTGAAGAAGAACAGATGACTGCCAATGGTTGTGACTAGCTACAGGGTAGATGGAGCACCAGTCAGCTGATTCTTCTTCTTCCCACATTAGCACCCAACCCAGCCTTGGTTCCTACCCACCCACCCCTCCTGGGCTCACCATGCGGAACTGCGCCTGGGCCTGCTGCAGCAGGCCATCCTGCTCTGACTGTGCGATGCTGATGAAGATGCCCACTTCGGAGTTGTACTGCAGGATGCTGCCTTGCAGACGGGTGATGAAATGGCCGAAGCTTCGGATGCAGCAGATGCGAACCACGGACTGCGGGGAAGAGGAGAGAGGGCATCTTTAGGGCAGGGGGAGCACCCAGGGGAAGTCAAGTCAAGGAGAAGGCTAGCTGTGTTGGCGGGGGGCGGGGGGATGGATGGATGGTGGGTGGGTGGAAGTAACTGGCTCAGCCCAACTGGACCTCAAACTGCCCATTGCAATCATAGATAGGTAGGTGGATAGGTAGGAAGGAAGGCTAGACACAGAGATATAATAGAGATTAGATAGATATAGGTAGATAGATAGATAGATAGATAGATAGATAGATAGATAGATAGATAG